TCTGTTTTAGTATATCTGATCTGCAAGAATTACGTTGATTTTTCATTGGATGTTTGGAAAATTCAATGTAAGTACACTTGAATCCATCGAATTTGACATTTGTTGAATCATTTGGCATAATATCCGCGAGATTGTATAACTTATCACACGTAGGACATACAGCATAAGTTTTTGATTTTTTCTTAATTTCTAATAACTTTCTAGCCATATGGATAGTTGATGGAAATTCATTATATTTATTTGGTTTAATATTTTTTAGAAAAATATTAAAAAAGCCTATCAAAGAGCCAATTGCAACATCAGAATGCGTAAACCTTTCTTGAAATTTAAAGATCCAAAGAAGGATCCATAAATTATCATTCATGCTTGTAGGAATTTCCTGATCTGAATCATAGTCAATGTTAAAAGAATCAGGAGCTGTAAATAAATCATCGACATAGTCTTCTAAATCTAGATCAGCATTATTTAAATCAATCGTTTGGAGGCCCTCATCATTATTTAAGTCATAAGAACCTTCATCACTACTAGATAAATCACTAGATGGATTAACTTGTTGCTCAGATTCTTCTTCAGAAGTGTTCGAACTGATAATATCATTGACTCTCTGAAATTGATTATATCTTTGCCTTTTCCGCTTCTTTGTAATACTAGATGGCATCGTAGTAGAGCATTCACTAAAACTATCATATTGGTAACCATCATCAGTCACTGCTGCTACAGTATTATCCTCATGAGTATCACCGTCAAAAGGTTCAACAGAAATAGACCTATAATGATATCGATTTTTTAAATTCGAAAGACAGACTGGTGTTGGATTATTAGCTTTTTTGCTTTTCGTTAAGTTGGAAATTGATTCTTGAAGTCGGTTCTCATTTCTTTCATGTTTTTTTCTAGTTCTTGTTTCAACAAGTTTGCCGTCGCATTCTTTGCAATAGCATAGCACCTTTGGCCTTAATTTTTTAGGCATTTTATTATTATTTTTTTTTTAAGATAAAAAAGGAGATTTGATTTATTTAAAAATTCAAACAATAAGATCAAATTAGAACAGGTTAAATAATAAAATAATGACAAATAAATTTCAACAATGATGATCGAGTATAATTCAAATTCAGCGAACACTTAGTGACTTGTAGGTACATATATTTGCACGGTGCTTCTGAAAAAAAAATCTTCAGTTACAAATTATTGCAAAAGAACTAACAAATTTACAATTACCCGGGTATAGTAAACAAACCTAGCATCATTCACAAAAAATGTAGCTACTCATAATTAAAACTCTGATAACAATGATAACATTAAAATTTTTTTATCTATTTTATTTTTACTAAGAATGACAATGATAAATATTTTTAACAATATATATAT